TATGAAGCATGTGAGTAGGAAAGGAGATGGATAGCAGGAACTACCCAGGATTAAATTTTAACAAGGCAATTTCGGCAAAATACAAGGTGACAAGGGATTTGAGCACAGGGCAGTGTAGAACTGAACTGGTTAACCATAGGATTGAGAACAGGAAGAGAGAAAATTAAATCAGAACCCAGGTAATGAACTGAGAAAGTACTAAGGGGTAGAGAAACTGAAGGTCATGATGAAGAAAAAGAATAGGAGAGGGAAGCCATAGAGAGGGATGGAATGACAGGTTTTGATCAGACCGACTGATGAATATCAGTTTTTGATCTCAGAGATGGAACACTTCTGAGTAATATCAAAATCAAAGGTGTAGTCATCGCTGTGTGTGGCTGAGATGAAATGCAAGAGTTCATGAGGTTTGAGGAAACAGTTAGCTCATAATTTAAAATAAAAAAAATCATTAACTAAAGTTGGATCTTTTAATTATATCTTAAAATAAAAATTGAGTTCCACTAAATAAATCAGAATTCCTTACCAAAAGTCAGCACTTTGAACAGCAGGCTTGAAGAGAACGCTATGTATCTGCTTGAGTCTTTTAACCCCAAGATAGCAACAGTATTAACTGTTAATGTTAAATTAATAAACTGTTAATAAATAATTAATAACTGTTAGTAAAACTAGGAAATAAAACTGGTGAGCAGGTTAGTCTAGAAATGTGAAGAATCAGCAAAACTGGCTTGCCATGAGAAGCAGCCTCCCTGAAATAGATTCTCATTTACTCCTCATTTCTTCTTCTTTTGAGCTTCTCTTCTCTTTGAAGCAGTCCTTGATTAGTTTCCTTTTAAATCTCCTCTTAATTGGGAAATAAAATTAGAAAGCTTATTTGATATCAGTAATGAGGTTTCTCTGTTTCTGCTTTGATCTGGTTTTGAAAACTGGATGCTGGAGGGAAAAAGGAAAAACAGACTGAAAAAGATTCCTTCTCTTCATGAGCCTCAAGCAAACATAAGCCATCAGATGGGTATAGAAAGTATCATACACGGGGCAGCTGAAGAATAAAAACAAAACTGCTTAACTAAAAGCAAATTTATATAATATACTTCTAAGACCTTTCTTTTCTCTTGTGCCTCTCCATGGAAGATAAATCCTTCTGACTGAGAGGTAGGAGAAAATATTAAAATGATCCCTCCAGTAGAGTGTAAGCTTCTCAAGGGCTGAGATGTCTCTATTTTGTAATTCTACCCCATCTCCAAACATAATGCTCAGCATACAGCAAGCATGTTGACTGAATATTGAGTTTGGAAAGTGACAAAGAATTGGAAACTGAGAGGATGTCCATCAATTTCAGATTGGCTGAACATGATACATGCATGTGATAAATACTATTGTGCCCAGAGAAATGATAAAGGGGATGGCTTCAGAAAAACCTGAAGACCTGTATAAACTTATGTAAAGTGAACATAACTAGGAGAACAATTTATACAATTAACTGCTGTATTATAAAGATAATCAACTTTGAAAGACTTGGTAACTCTGTCCAACACAATGACCAAACACAATTCCAAAGGACTCATGATAAAATATGCTATGTACCTCCAGATAGAGAGGTAAGAAGACTCAGATTGCAGATTAAAACATATTTTCTGTCTCTCTTTTTCGGACATGGCTAATGTGTGAATTTATTTTGCATAATTATAGATATTTGTAATGGATTTTATTTTTCTTGCCATCTCATTGGGGGGGAGAGCAAGATAATTCAGAACTGAAAATAAAATAAAATTGAATTTAAAAAAATTTTAATGAATATGCCATTGTAGAGAAATATATAAAGAGAATATGTTCCCATCTCATGACGGAGAAAATGCCAAAGAATATGCGCACCCTGATCAATGGGCTTTTAACCCAAAGGCTTATCAGCATCTCAATGGGATTGGTGACAAGGGAAATCAAAAATAATTCTGTTTTGATATTGCACAGCACAGAGGAACTCTCCTGAGAGCCTAGAGTATATATTCATTATACTAACCACTATGAAATTCAGGAAGTAAATTGGATCCATCCCTCTCATTCCGAGAAACATCGATTATTATTTTTTCTCTATTATGGTATGAAATGTTTTGTACTACTACTACTTCTTTGGAAGTTCCACATTAAAAAACAAATAACAACAACAAAAATACCACCATCATAAAGCATACAGATCAGCAAAGGCTTCTATATAGCCTTATCATTTAAAATAACAGAATTTTAGTAAGGGATCTTGGAAATTATCTAGTCCAAGATCATCTGTCCAGAAAAAATCATCTTAAGACAAATAAGAATATGAATTTTATTTATTCAAATACCTAATACCCTTCTTAAGAAGAACACCCTTTCTTAGAAAATTAGAAGAAAAAAATTTGCACACAAGTTCATTTTTCTACAGCATTCACCCAGAATGCTTATGTTCTATTAATTAATAAAGAATGCAAAATTACTAAGAGATCAAGACTTAAGTCATTATCTCACAGTCTACTGGGAAAATCATGTGAGAATATCTATGAAAGCACTTCATCATGTAATGTTTTAAAAAATTAATAATGATAACTCCAAGACATAAAGAGTGTGCCTAATTCAATTTCAAAGTCTGTTACCATTTACTCAGTGAACTCATATGTGCTACGATCAACACCAATATAAAGGCCTAAGAGAATACCTTTCCTACTATTAATTTTCACTGGGTACTCTATAGAAGGTTTCTACCCCACATCTAAAGATTATAAAATTATTTTGGCACTTAACAAATGCACAAAATTTGTAACATTAATCTTTGGAGAAAGAAAAAAAAGGTGGTGGAAGTGAACTGTGATTTTTTTTCACTCTGTGCATAAGGGACTGAAAAGAGTCTTACACCTGTGGGACAAGGGCAGAATTGAGTCCCTCTGGTTACACCAGAAGCAAAGAACTCAGATAAGAGCTGCACACACATTTTTAAAGTCTAAGGACCAAAACTAGTGCCTTCCCTCTACAATGCAGCCTTCATTTTTCATTTATTCACATTTCTACACCTAGACTGACATTAAAAACTCATTTGTGCCAACAGAACAAAACCAAGTATTGAACTTTACTTTCTAAAAAAGCTGCCACTTTGTTATACTGTAAATAACAACAAAAAGGTTCTGAGAAAGATTTCTCAAAAGGATTTTAGAAACAGAAAAGGAGACTACAGAAAACAAAACTAGCTTTAGTCCTATAGACAGATGACTGAGAGAGGAGGATGTACTCACAGCCACCGTTCTGCAAGGAAGGTTAAAACAAATTATCCAAAGAGAAAAGAAAAAGACTAGTTCTCCAGCTCCAGAAATGACTTTCACTTTCAGCAATTCTCATACCTGACTTTAACCTCTCCCTGGGACAACAACTGCAGCTTCCTTCCTGTTCTGCTTCCTCCTTTTAAGTTATTTTCAGCAATCTGCCAAAATGTAAGCTTTTATAACAATGTTATCTTCTATGAAATACTTCATTGCGACATTATATTAAATTATAAAACCAAAACTCTGAGGATGTCTTTTTCTCACTTCTTGGAGGATTCTTGTTGCTAGGCCAAGACCAATACAAGAAATTATCAGCATGGCTACTATGATAAAACTCACACTCCTTACCACACACCACCAGACCTTTTGGTAAAGAACTTAAACTCTGAAACAGTGTGAAAATAAATGGCTGGCTCTAGCTTGTAAGCAATGGTTTGGATGCTCTAAGGCAAAAACCTGACCCATACAAAAAAAAATCTTTCACACTCCTATGCCCAAATCAATTTCCTTCTTTTTGAGGATAGTACTGTATAAAACTGTTGTCTTAAGGCTAGAGAAGGAAGTTTAATAATCACTACTCTCCTCAAAATGCTGAACAAAGGATGCAGTATTAGACCCAGAGCCACACAACTCCATTCTATGGAGCTGAATTTTGTGGGAGAAGGTACTTGGATGGTTTTGTTTTTGTCTGGACCAGTGATTTTATCAATTCATCAAGTATTTATTAAGCCTACGCTGTGTGCCAGGCACAGTAAATACAAAGACAAAAACCATACAGTCCCTGTCATCAAGAATCAGCCTTTATCTGGGAACTCTCAGTATTGAAATTCCTGATGCAGATGCAATCAGCAAGTCATCTGTAACTTATAAATTTTACAGGGTTGCCTAGAGCACTAAATGACTTTCTTATTCTCACAAGGCTAGATTTCAGAGGTCCAACTAGTGCCCAGGTTAGCAGCAACCTGGGAGGCCAGCTCTCTAACTACTATGTCTGGCAGCCTCTAACTTTGACAGATAACGGTACAAATATGCTAGTATACCTAATTATATGATGTTCATGAATCTTATGGCCTGTTTGGGACAAGGGGCATCAGATTCTTTTAACTACCACCTAGAGTTTATAAGGCCCTTCAGACTTAGAGATCCTTTGGTGGTGACGAGCAGCAACATAAGGATACAAAATATTATTTTACAATGTAATTATGGTTTGTAAAGCCTGTTGAGCTTCTTCGCTGGTAAAAGCACTATACTAAAGGGAACTATTTATTGCTAGTTTATTGGCAATAGGTTATTCTCTACACCAGGCATCTCTCTCTCTCTCTCTCTCCCTCTCTCTCTCTCTCTCTCTCTCTCTGTAGCTTTCCGTTCTTTGGAGGACATTGTGATTGGGATCCAAAATGTTGTGCCACAAAAATTATAAACAAAAAACACCCCTCCCTCAGTTGGGCCTGTAGCACACTGAGGTACTACTATAACAGAGAACTTTTATATAATAGGAGTATTGAATATCTCAGGCCTAGATTGCACTGTCCCCACCCCTGGTAATTGACAAAGAAAGTAGCCAATCACCAGTCAGAATCCCATTGCCTTAGCAAATGAGAATACGAAGGTGGGGTTAGGCTAGGCTCCGGGCTGTTCCCCACAAGCCCCCTTCCCCCTTCCCCGAGACCCAGGTTGTGAGGAGACGGATTAGGAAGCGGGCTCGGAGGAACTCGTTACCCCCGGTTGTAGCTGTTCTCCTCCTCGTTCTCGCAGTCGCTGCAGTGCTCATGGCCATTCCCGTTCCCTTCCATCAGCTGCGGCGTCGGAGGCGGCGGCGGCTGCTGCTTCACTGCTGTCTCACTCTTATCCGCCATCTTGAGTTGGGAGAGCCGGGCTCCGCGCCCCGCTTCATGAGGGACTGCTATTGGACGAGGAGGAACCGGCGATGTTTTCTGGGCTTTGTAGTCTTTACGGAAGGGAACGAACGGGTAGAAGGGGAGGGTTCATTTTCTGAGAACCGATAAGAACGGACTACGTTACCCAGAAATCACGAGGTCAGAGGGCGGGTCGCAGCTAACAGTAAAGTCGCCTTGGAGGAGCGACGGTCCCCGTAGGTCTTCAGGATTCGGATACCCTTCGAGGAAAGAGGGGCCTCAAAAGTGAGGGAGGGTGGACACTTTCTTAAGAGCACGAGCTGCCCCGTAGGATGCTGGGAGTTGTAGTTCAGTGCCTACCTAGGGTACCTCACATGGACTTTTCCAAGACCTGAGATTTGACCTTAACCTAACCCTTGGCTAACCCAAAGCCCTAAGCGAAGCAGTTTATTTGCTGCCGTTAATAACCGTTACCGTTCTGGGCTAAGTGAGAGACAGAGGCCCGAGGGTGCAGGCAGGAGGGGAATTCTCCAGGGCTGGAGTGTTTCTTGTGGGGAGGGTTTGGGGGAGAAGGACTAACTGTGGGGGGTGGAGGGGAACGGGAGAGGTTCTCTTTAGCCCATAGCTAAAGGCTCAGGTGGACCTCCATCCAAAAGGTGAGAGCTAATCTACACCCCCTCCCGCCCCCCCTTCCTCCGCTCCACCTGGTTCCTGGGCAGAGTGCAGCAGATTAAATTCCGATGTCTACTAAACCCATCAATGAATGATAGGAGCAGTAGCTTTTTTCATGGAGGATGAGCTGGTTAGTAGTTGGGGAGGCCCTTTCATTTCAAAGAGGCTTCTTTGCGTCTTGAGGCTTGGGAGTTGGGTTCAGAGATTTAGCTCAGTCACTGAGTCAATAAGAATTTATTAAGAGCCCCCTGTGTGCCAGGCACTGTGCTAAACCTCTGGGGATACAAAGAAAGGTAAAAGACAGATCCTGCCCTCCAGAAGCTCATCTGCTAATGGACAAATTGCTAACAACTATGTACAAACAAGCTGTATACAGAATAAATAAGAAAAAATGAGCAGAGAGAAGGCACGCTGCAGTATGAGGACTCCTTTCTGACCTAGCCTGACCATTGCTAGGGGTGAATGTGGAGTAGCCAGCATTATATCTGAATTGTATCCTTTTTAATCTTAAGAAAAGTTTTTCTTACATTAGAAATAATTTTTCTTATTGTTTACTTAAGCATACTTATATGGAGCAATGGATAGAGCACTGGAGTCAGGATTACTGTGTTCAAATCCAGCCTCAAACACTAGCTGTATGACCTTGGACAAGTCACTTAACCTCTGTCTACCTCAGTTTCCTCAACTGTAAAATGTGGATAATTATGGCATCTACTTCCCAGATTTGTTGTGAGGAGGCTGTGGGTAGAAGGACTGTCACTCCCCATGAAGGTGGGGGAGAAAGCTGGGTTCAGGGACCTGGGACCAAAGGCAAAGACACCACACTTTTAGATGAGCACAATAGCTCGGGAGCCTGCCCCATTGGCACTGAGAGACAGCCCAGCTCAGGGATGGGTAACCTGGGACCTCCAGGCCAGATGTGGCCCTCTAGGTCCTCAAGTACAGCCCTATGACTGAATCCAAACTTTACAGAATAAATTCCCTTAATAAAAGTATTTGTTCTGTAAAATTTAACAGCAGAGAGCTCATAATCTACAAAGTATGAGCCTGAGCAAGTAACTTAACCTCCATCTTACTGCAAAATGGGCATAATAATAGCACCTAACCCCCAGGGTTATTGTCAGGATCAAATGAGGTAATAATTAATTGTAGAGTGTTTTGCATAGTGTGGGGCCTCTAGTAAGTGCTATATAGATATTAACTATTGTTGAATGCAGCTAACCAAGAGCTGACCTTGCCAGATCCAGAGCTACAAATTGCCTGAGGAGAACTGATAACAGTTAAAAGAGGACCATCCCAACTAGTTTTAAAAAAAAAGAAAAGAAAGAAAAGAGGACTAGCTATTAGGACTCCTGAGCCTCCTTAGACTCTTCTATGGACTTTCAGTTGTTATACAAAACAGCTTATTTAATGGCTTCTTGAAGCTGTGGCTCCCCCCTGGGACTCCCTCCCTATTGAAATGTATTTAACCCTACCCCTCTTGGACACTCCAGTACCTTGTTACTTCCTGGTGTCTCTGAATTGTAATTCCCTTGCCTCTATTAGAGATCCTATGTTTTGCTACATTGGTAGTCTTCTTTATTTCAGGTGAACATATATGACACTACCATCATCGTTATTAAATATTTATTAGATGCTTACCATGTACCAGGCACCGTGCTAAGGGAGGAGGCCTCCCATGGTGGGGCAGGGGGGAGATGAGGGGAGTGAGGGATGTGGTAATGAAAAAAAAGATAGTCCCTGTCTGCCCTCAAAGAGCTTACAATTTAATTAGGGAAGAACACACACAAAAGGAAGCTGAAGAAATGGGGGGGGAGTTCATGGCTCTACTCTCCAAAAGTGGGACAGAGGCTAGTGATGAGGTGGAGTACCAAAGCTAATGGGATTTTACAGGATAATGAAGTTTTCCCAATAATGGACTATCTGGGACATGGTAGAAAAGTCAGGGAAGTCTCAAAGTAGTGCAGCCAGGTGGAAAATGAGGGGATGTTCTGAGGTGAATGAACTCCTTGGCACCTTTCTGAAAGAGAAAGCATGTTGAATCTTTGTGGAATTGGAGTTGTGAATTGCCTTGGCCACATGTGTACCCTACACATGTTCTTCATAAGTCTGGTCTCACTCTTCTTCCCAGAGGGATTGAGTGTGTTCATGGGAGACCATGCCCCTGATAATTGGGAGAAATACTTTGTAACTACTGACCTTGCTGTGCCATTTGAGTTCTTTGCTAAAAAACTGAATCTACTAGCTGAGTAAAGGGAAGCCTACCAGTAAGAGCTTTTGTTCTAGTATTTAGGAGAAGAGTCACCCATAGGGTTGTCCATAGGACCCATGCGTAGTAACAACCGCTCCTCTACAGACCCAACCTGCTGCTGGTCGTATGAGTTGAGCAGCTGAGCCCTGACTGGAATGTCTCAGTATTAACATGAATTCTGAACTCTGGAAGGTCACAGCATGTCCTGAATTTATTTTTAATTAAAAATTTCTAACTGAACTTTATTTTTTTTTCCTTTCCAGGACAGCTTTCTTTTATCTCATTTTAAAATTAATCTTTATGATAGCTTCAGAATTATTTGGAAACTTTTTAGATCATGATCTTCCCACCCTCATGACCTCCCACCTCCTTACCTCCAGAAGTCACCCTCTAGATGGTTGGTAATAAGGTGAGACTGAGGTTCTCTCACTACTGGAGAATATTCTCAGTTCTCATCTCATCTTTACTCCCACTCCCATTCTCTTCTCTTATATCCCTGATCTCAGCAGTATTCACATTTATCAGATCATTGTTATTAGACTCAGTGTCACCTTCAGATTTAATGGCTTCAGTGGTGCCATTGACTTCATTCTTAGTATCACTTTCCTTCCATTCCAGTATTTGTGTTTTCACTGTTTTTCTTGACTTGTGGACTTCACACTTTTAAAAAAAAACTTCAAATTCCCTCTTGTCTTACGGAAAAGTCTTCTCTTTGTACTTTATGGTTCTTTCTTGTGCTACAATGTGAAAGAATTAGGTTAAGATAAGTTAATTTTATTTTCTGTCCTTTTCTCTTAGATTTTCTGTCTTGTTCTCTGTCCCAGCTTTTTCTTCTATGTTTGTATGATTTTCAGTCTTGGCTTGTTGATCTCCTTCGGTCTTGTTTATAAGATCTAACTTTGGGCTCAGCTAGGAGATCTGATATTAATTTCAAAGCAGTCCTGTTTGTTTTTTCTTCTAAATTTCCTTCAGTTTTCTTCTGTGCATTTTCTTTTAAACAAATGGATGTTGGTACAAGCAGAATCCCCATATCACCTCAGGCCAAGAAACAGATTGCCTGCCGGAGACATGACCTCTTAGCTACTTTGTCTTAGATGATCCAGTCCTGTGATGGGGATTGGTGATGCTGTCTTCTGTGACGTGAACCTGTTTTCCTGGCATTGTTCCTGGTTATTGTGATTGTCTTTTATAAGAAGATCTACTCTGATACTCTCACTATATGAATTTTTTACTTTTAAAAAATTATATTGTTTTATATTTTTATGATTTGTATTAAGCTCCTCCTCCAGGTCTACTTTATGCTAGGTTCTTCTGATGAATGCAGTGATAAGAGAGAATATTTTATCTGGTGTATCCTTTTTAATATTAAATAAATTTGCTTTTATTGATATACGTTGTCCACTAGTGTCTCACTGCATTCTAGTCCTGAGCCAGAATCACTGGGTTGGTCTGAATTAGGCCTGGTTCAGAATACCAACTCTTTTAGGAATCCCCTTCCCGACCCCTCACCTTAGTACTTCCATCTGGGATCCAACTGCAATAGAAACTCATCTTTGTTGAGTTAGGTATGCACCACTCCTGATTTAGATTCCTTAAAAGGGGCAAAGGATGGTCAGCATCTGAGGCCTCTTTACTGATTTTATTGGCTTTTCAAAAATAGATGGTCTGTGGGTTTCCCAAATTGATGGAAAACTGCTGGGAGGGGCTCTACATTGGTTATTTGGGAGCATGCCCTCAGCAGCTATTGTTTTTCAAACTTCTCCTGCTCCTATCATGGCCTACAAACTTCCAAAGTGGTGAAAGCCTAACCACCCTCAGACCTCTCCCTCCCCTGGCCAGCAGCAGTAAAAGAGTGCATCTGTGGCTCTCCTATTAGCAGGGATGATTCCCAGCTCCTCTCCTTACTCCTGCTTACATTCTCTTTCCTATATCTCTGATCTCAGCAGGATTGAACATATTTTCCAGTTTGAGCTCTGGGCTAGAGAACATGCCTATATAACCTGTGGGTTCCCACCCCCATCACCATTGTCTCTTATTTGTACAGTTACCAAGTCCATCAGCTGCCCCTCTGCTTAAAAAAAAAAAGCTAAGAGGTCTTTCTTCAGTTGGTGAATACACACAGCTTACTCATTTCTTTTTCCTTATGCTAGTGATCCAGTTTTTCTAGCATCATTAACACTAAAAAAGAAATGTTCATCTTGGCACTATCATTATCCTCTACATCAACCTTCTTTAGCACCCACCAGGTTAATCCATTTGGGCCAATGTATGCCCTCCTTCTGTCCCACTGAGAGGACTTGCCCACCAAAGTCACAGGATGCCTTCCTCCACTTCAATTATGAAAACCATGAGCTCATTCTGATCTATTCCACCTAATTATGTGGCCAAATGTATGCCAGGTACAATCAGGTTAAGCCAGTGGTTCAGGCTTGGAACTGGAACAAAATGAGATATTCGCAAAGCAGAAGTGTCAAATTCTGTCTAGGTAGGAGTGAAGCTTGGACCAGATTAAAATGTAATTGGGAAATGTTTAATAAAATAAATAAAAATACAGTCGAACACAGGAAATGTTATTTTGTGTTTTTTTCTAAGTAAATTCCTGGCAAAGATATGTTTCTATTTGAGTTTAAAATCACTACTGCAGATCACTTTCCCAGAAGTTTACTTATTAACAATAGCACTTTCAGTCAGCAATGACATAGCACTAGTTCCACAGATAAATTCCCCCTAGTTTCCATAAGGAAATGCATCTGGTCCAGCAGTATGTCTGGTCAGATGGGGGTGGTGACTTGAATTTTACTTTTTAATGATATGGAAAGGCTAAACTGTCTTTTTTTATTTCCAGCAGTGGCCCATCTATCAGGTCTGAAGGCCTCTGGACTACTCATGGGCTGTTTTTTTTAATGTCATAGGTGAATGGAATGCTGAGTCAACTTCTTGAGCCCTAGGCCCCTAGACCAATTAAGCTCTGGCGACAAAAAGTGAAGACTACATATCAGGGATCTTAGTAAATATACTTCTCCCACACCTTTCATTATCTCCTGGGGTATATGGGGTATTCAGGATGGCCTAACACCCCTGGTGAGAGGGCTTGCCAAACCCCTTTCAGGGCTGCTCATCATTTGGTGTCCACCTATCACCCAGCTCTGATATGTGGCTCCAGGAAGCTGTAGAATGCTTAGTGCCCACATCCTGGTAAACCATCTCAGCAGAAGGTCTGAACCAGATTGAGGGTAACCAACAGGCCTCAAAGCCCTCAGTGAGTTAGCTTATAAAGCTTATAAAGACTTCCTTCATCAGAATGGTCGATGAGAACAGTTTATTTTCAACAGCCATGTAGAAGATTGAAGCAGGCAGTGTCTAAGGCCCAGAGCTTATTCAGACATTGAACATGCCAAGGTCATCTACTGAATCCTGGGCCATCACTAGTTGTCTTGACTTTTATCCTGCCACTGGGCTTTGATGACTAAGGAAGAGGGAGACTGCCAACTTTGTGCAACTCTGCCTCACCTAAATCCAATTCATGAGCCAGTCAGGATGTTACTCCATGATGTCATTGGTCCTCTTTAAAAGGAAGGATGAACAACAATATTATTTCCCTTGATTGTAAGCCCCTTGAGAACAGGTACCTGGTCCAGCTCATCTTTGTTTTCTTTACTGGGTAAAGCAGGTAAGAAAAAAATGGTTAATACCTTTTGGGTTCTAACATGAAGTATGAAGAAAAACAGATAAATGTTTTTATGAAGCTCAGAAATGGACTCTGAAGTCAGTTCCAAAAGAGGAGTTGCCAAAATGTCATAAATGTTAAATTTCATGAAAATATAAATAATACAGTCATTTTTCTGTTGTGCCTGGGAAGGCTGGTTGAAGGCTAACTCTGACAACAGCCTTTTCTTAGAAAGGGTGTGTTATGTGCTTGGTTCTTCTTTGAAGTGGATGGCTGGCAGTAAGTGAAATTGTGAAATAAAGGAAATTTGGTTTTGATACACCTCTTCTCAGCCTCCTACCTCCTGACAGGTGCCTAACTTTTTTTTTTATTCCAGCAGTACTTTGCTCTCCAATAACTGTCCGAATACCCATTAACATTAATTCAATTTATATTCATTCAATAAATATTGAGAACTATGTACAAGGCACAGTATTGGACTTTGTGGAGCCTACAAAGAAGTATTAACACTCGGTCCATCTTGGAGGAAGACACACATGAAAAATTAAACAGCAACACAAAGGATTGGATAAGTGCCAAATGTATAGTACAGGTGGAGCTGTAGAAGTTTAATAAAGAGAGAGATGGCTGGGCTAGGTCTTTCAGGGAAGGCATTAAAGAGGAGATTGGACTTTATCTTGGCTCGGAAAGATGAGTGGGATAATAGCCAGCGTTTATATAGTGCTTTTAAGGTTTGCAAAGCAATGTACCTGTTATTTTATTTGATACCATTAAGACTGAGGAGGAGGAACAGCAATCTCGGCAAAGGTGAGGAAGTAGGACAGTCTGGATAAGATTTAGAACTGGAAGGGGCCTTAGAGATCACCCTTTCCAGCATCCTCATTTTACCGATGAGGTGTGGTATAACGCTTTCAGAGAGGCTTGCCCAACATAGATAGTATGTTGCAGCTCCTGTATCCCAACTCTCAAGGCTCTAAAAGAACTTTTCCTAAGCAACAGAGTTGCTAAATTTACTTGCTAGGAGAAAGAGGCGGAGGGCCTAAGTTTCTGAATTAGAAACTTGCCCTACATTCTAGTTTACGATTATTTCATAATTAGCTCTGCATCGTCCTGTAATTGGTAAACGTGCATCACTCTTATTTTTGCAACTAGAAGATAAGCTACTGGAGGGGCCGAGACTCCATCCTCCGTTGGGGTAGGCTGGGCACTCAAAGAAAACTCGTTTGACGGATTCTCCCACTCATTTTCTTCCATCTACTTCTTTCACCCTCTACTTTATCCCTAGCTCAGACCCTAGGAGGAGAGGGGAGAAGTCACGCCCCTCCTCGTTCCAGCTTCGGGCCCTGGGCGAGATCTCCCAATAAGCACGGCCATGATTGGATCACTGGCCCGGCTCGCCCCAAGCTGACCAATGGTGGTGCTGCCTGTTGCTGGGTCGGTGAGGCCGTGAGAGGCAGCTGTTTGAAGGGAAAGGAGAGATAGGGAAAAGGTGGGGCCGGGCCCGCAGGTGGAGGTGAACCTCGGGAGTCCCTCCGGCCGGAGCTCCTCTCCTGCTTTGTCGTCCCATCCCAGGCTTCCGCAGCAGGGCGGGCGGTGACCGCGCGGTCACCCGTGACCGTGCCCCTTGATCTCGGCCGCCCGTGGCTAGGGGCGCGCACGGTGACTGGGCAGGTGACGGTGGCGTGGCGCGTGACGCCACGGCCGGGAGCCGGACCTCTCCCCGCTCCCCCCAGTTAGAGCCGCGCGGTCTCGCCTCGTTCTTCCTCCGCGGGCCCCCGAGGCCAGGTAGGCGAGCAGGTGGCCAGCCGTCCCCTCCCTGGGCCCCAGGAGCTGGAAGCGAGGGACGGAGCCGGGACCACTGCCCCGCGCCACCCCGTCCGGCGGAGGACCAGCTCGGGGCAGGAAGGAGGCTTCCGGACGGGCCCTCTCAAGCGTGGCTCTTTAGTTTTACCAGGAGAGAAGGCGGTTTTCAGCCAAGTGAGCGCTGCCCCGAAGCCCCTGATTTCTAAAGGACCTTTAAAGGGCTCAGGCCTTTTGGGGGTTGTGACCCAGCTGGGTGGAGGGGACGGGAGTTAGGTTAAACGACACCTCAAAATAAGTCAGCCTTTCCTCCTCCCCGCCCCCCACCCCCGAACACGTGTTAAAGCTCTAGGTGAGGAACAGGTGAGCCTCGAGACTTTATTTTTTTGCTCAGAAAAGCCCCAAATAAGGTGGTTGAGGCTCATCAAAGTACTCCCCCAGTAGCAAAGTTCTTTGAGGGCAGTATCTGTTTAACTTCTACGTCCTTCAGTGATTGGCACCTAAGTAGTGCTTACCCTAGTCAACCGATTGGTAAATGCTTGGGTGGAGTCTGTCCGTCAGCTTTTTTTTTTTTTAGGTTGGGAAAGAGGGTAAAAATACCCCCAATCGTCAAACTGGAGAAGGGATTAGGTATGTCAGAAGTTAGTGCTTTAGTTGACTCATCTGTGAACTTGGGATGGTGCCCCCTTCGAGGGATGCAGCAAAATAAAAATGATGCAGAGGTTTTTTAGCTTTTCTGAGTAGGTGATGTGCAAATAGATGTCTGTTCTTACTGATCTTACAATGAAATCTCCCTCAGTGCCTTCAGCCCCTTCTGAGTCACGTTATAGTGGCCTAGTCTGGAGAAACTTTGGATTTGGATCGAGTTAGGTGTGTTCAAACTTTTTCTCATCTGTAAGAGAACAGAGACTTGAAAGGGGATTTGCTTCTCCCAAATTCTTCTGCAATCTTTGTGATCTTGTACAATCTTTGTCAGTTTAAACTGCCAGATGGCCATATAGTGTTGTCGATGCTTTGAACTCCCCTTATACTTTTTTTTAAACTAACTTTAAATTAGTCTTCCTGGTGCTCCTCTCAGAGAAAGTGACTTTAAGAAGAAGCCAGCCTGACTGTTATGCCAACCAACTTCATTAACTCTTTTCTGGTTTTCCCCAATGCCACTATCCCTAGTGAATTTACTGAAAATATAGATTGCAGTTGAATACCTTTACTATCGTGGAGACCATTTTCTTTTTTGGCAGGGAACGGTTCCATCTTGAACAGATTGGAAGTAAGAGGTAATTATTAACTCCTACTCAGGTGATGTCCCGGACAACTTAGTTTGCAAGATTTCAATTGAGTGCAGTAACTCCACACTCTACTCCCCACCCTCCCTTCTCTCTACTAGCAACATAATTCATTTGAACATCTACTAAGTAGTTCAAGACCCCATGCTAGTCACTGAGTGGGCTATTAAGATTACTATGACATAGGTCCTGCTCTCCAGGAGCTTTTAGTCTAGTATAAAATCTATATGATGTCCACACAACAATGTATCAGAAGCAGGATTTGATCCCTTTTCTCTCTCATTTCAAGTTCAGCACTATTGGCTGTGCCATACTGCTTCTCATGATACGAAGTAAACTGTAATGAATGACACTTTTTCACTATGCAGAAATATGGGCTGACAATCCATTTGTGTGAATTTGGAACCAGTATAATAACTGGACCTGCAGGATTGATGTCAGTTTAGAACAGGTTTCCTGAAACTTGTGGTTTAAGGAAGCAACAACAGCTAAAGTTCATTATAATTGGTTTCCCTTGTGGTCCTGTGCATTTTTATTTTAGTTTGTGCATTTAAAAATATTATTCTGGGAAGAGGTACATAGGCCTTACCATAATACAGAAAAGGTTCAGAAACCTTGACTTAGAGGGAGTTGCCCCAAGGATCTGTCCTTGGCCCTTTGCTATTCAATATTTTTATCTGACTGGAAGGCAGAGAAGACATACTTGTCAAATTTACAGAATAACATGACACTTGGAGAGATAACTAGTATGTTGTATAACAGTCTGGATCAAAAAAGAACTCATCAGAGTAGAGTGATGTGCTGCACGGAGTAAGATTTTGATTTGGGTTCGGCAAGTCAACTTCACAAGTACAGATTGGGGGAGACATGTCTAGACAACAATTCCTATGGGAAAAATTCTGGAGTGTTTACTGGATGGCAAGCTTTTCAGGAGTCAATTTGACATAGAAGCCAAACAAGTTAATGTGATGCTAAGTTGCCTTTAAGAAGAAAAAAGGCATAATGAGCTCAGAAGGAAAGCAATATACTTTGATCTGGTCAGGCCACATCTGAGTTTAGTTCTGGGTGCCATGTTTTAGAAAACACATAGACAAGCTAACATAAAGAGGGAGACCAGAATAAGGACTGTAGAGGACTATAGAATGTGCCATGTGAAGATTTGTTGAATGAATGAAAAACTTGTATTAAGTAATTACTAATACAAAATTGAGTCTTTACCCTCAAAGAGCTTACGTTCAAGTGGGAGGATAACATGTCTAGGGGAGTAGTGGCCAGGGAAGGGTATTTTGGCCTAGAAAGCCACAGGGATGGTAAATGGAGTAAAAGGGAAGTTGATCAACTTGACTGCTCTGGAAGCATTGGCAGTATTATTTTGATTACAGTTCACAGAGCAGGTAGCAGGTAGTATACTTTAGGGCACAGGGTGGATAGCTGGAAGGAAGCAGGGTCTAGTGGTTGTTGGCTGGCAAAAGAGAGGTGCTATATGAGTTTGTGCTCATTGACTCATTAGTTAAGACAGCTCAGTCTGAGTAGGGGAGTTTCTCCTCAAGGAGTCCATTTCTTATTGGGGAGGGGAGCGCACAAAATCTAACATACGTAAATATATACAAAATACAAGCTTGTTTTGGAAATTGGGAGGCAGTAACCCCTAGTGGAATCAGGAGAAGGTCTTGTGGGGTCAAAGAAGCATAAAAAAATACACGGAGAAAAAGATATACAAAGGATCAAGGTAATTTTATTGTTACTATTTTGCATTGAGTATATGTTTTTTAAACTATGTAACTAGTTTGCAGTTTCATATATAGTGCTCTTCCATTGGTTGTATCTTCAAACGTTTGTGGCTCTGTAAGTTTGCAATAGAAAATAAAATGTATTTTTAAAGGCTTTGTGTAGGAAGTATAAGCTAAACTTGGAAGGAAGCTAGAGATTCTTAGGGATGAGGACAGAGTGCATTCCATGGTGTTCAGTCTATGCAAAGATAAGGAATTATGAGATAGAATGTTTTATGTGAGGAGCAGCAAAGAGTGTATTTTTGTTGTACTAAAGGATCTGTGGAGGGGAGTATAATGTGTAATAAAGCTGGAAAAGTAGGCTGCGGCCAGGTTGTGAAGGGTTTTAAATTCCCAAGACAGTTCCTAGAGCTACAGGACTTTGACCTGACAGGCACCTCTTGAATACCCCCTGGCCTCCTCACTGACTCTAAATCAGGGCATAGGGTGAATAGCTGGAAGGAAGCATGGTCTAGGGGTTGTTGGCTGGCAAAAGAGAGGTGCTATAAGACATCTCAGTCTGAGTAAGGGAGTTTCAAAGATAGAAATAGATCTGTATCTGTCTTTCCCCCCAGCTAAGAGCAATGGATTTACTCAGGAGCTTCTACTGAGCTAGAAACATAATTCAGATCTCAAGACTGCTGGTCACTTACCCCAATTATTGTGATCCAACTGTCTCTCAGTATAGAGTTTGATTCTATTATGCTTCTTATTCTCTCTTGAAAATTCCTGACACCTAAGGGGTTGGTTGGGTAAGCAGAGATGAAAGAAGGCAAGAAGGTATGAATGTGAAACTATAAGCAGTATGGATAGAACCCAGAAAATTTCAGGAGCCTTTTTTTTTTATTGGCTAAAAACATTAGTAGCTACCCAGTGGCATTTGGGATGATCTCCTCAGAGTATAGAACTCGGTGTTAGAACTCCTGGGTTCTTTTTCTCTGTTGACCACTGAATGAAAATGTATCTTCCCTAAAATGAACTTTGGTTTCCATCTTTTCTGCCTGGGGACTAGGATTAATTCTCCCATGTTTCTGTCTTCCAGGAGTGAAGGTGGTGATGTCCAGAAGGTGCTTTGAACAAAGAAAAGACTCTTGTTTCACATCCACTTCCTTCCTCCCAGTGGCACTGCTAGCCTTCAGATAAAACTAAGAGATGGCAGCCTCATGTGCTACTTAGAAGGGAGTGGCAGCACCCACTGACTCATCAACATCTCTTCACTCTGGAGGCCAGTAATTGGCAGATTGGAGAGGAGTGAATAGTGCAGGCTGCTTAATAGGCTGAGTGAGGATTGAGATCACTCACTGGTTTAAATAGCTGCTTCTCCCCCATAATGAAAGATTAGGAATGAGGAAGCTGTATATAAAAATAGTACTTAACAGTTAACTGTAAAACAATATATTTTTGCAACTGTTGGTTCCATGAGAAAATAATTGGGTCCCAAGGCAGGGAATGACTCGTTTTCCTGAATGATTATATTGATCACTGGAGCAAAATATATACATTCCCTTTGGTAAGCAGTGAGAGGGGAAAGCTTCTGGCTTGTGTGCATGCACCGCATGAAGTCCAGGGAGCCAGATGAAAGAGGGGGAATGTGCTGCATTAGAGATGCAGGTTAATGAAGAAGAGGGCCCCTGGCTTTGTGTAAACAGTCTTTTGCCTCTATGCAGGGTAAAATGAGAAACCAGAGACTTGGTTTCTCCCCTGAGTTCTAAGCTTTTCTGTAGGGAATGGAGGATTGGAAGGGCTTTCTCCTTTCAAATCTCAGTTTCATGTTCTCAACAGATCCATTTATGGAATGTTTTTTAACAATTTCAGTGTGAGAGTCTTACCGTTGGCACGTGCTTATGTAGAGAATTAGCCAGGCTGAAAAGTAGATGCCCTTGGTTCTAGCCCAAGGTTTGTCCCAGTTTTCTATGTGACTTTGCTTCTTGATCTTTGTCCCCCAACAAAAAGCCATCCCTGTCTTGATGGAGTTAGGACCACTGGATTAATCCTCTGTATGTTTAGACACTTGGACCTATGAGGTAGCCCACAGTTTGCAAAGTGGTACTATTTTCACCCTTACCCTGCCCCCCAAAAGCATATTATCTTGGACAGGGGTTCTCAATATTTTTGGGGTCCT